TATCAAAACCGTCTTTGGGTAATGCTGTAATTATATATAGTAAGTGTTTCTGTATTAGTCATCAATAAATATTAGTGTATTTATATGTATATGTCTAATATAAATATGTATAAACAAACTGATGTGCATACTGTACATGTAGTAATTATAATGCAGTTTATGCCGCAATAATTTATTTCTTAATGTAAAATATATATAGAAGAGGAATAAAATTATTCCTCGTCATTGTATAGTTGGCTTGATTGAAAGTGTTTATAGTAGAACATTCTAATCAAAGAATCAAAGTAAGATGTCAACTACCTACTTTTGTGTATTTAAGTTCTGTCATTGGCCGGAATAATGCATGGGGAAAATGACGCCTTAAAAATGTCTTGATTGAAGCATTATTTTGATATCCTGAAACAGTGCGCATCCTATGTTTGTATGAACCTTTTCATTTATGATCAATACGTTACATGACTAAACCTTCACCAAGGGATGACCCTCAGGACTGAACAACCTCCTTGTCTACAACGGGTGCAAAGGTAAAACAATTATTGTTAATTTAGGAGGTGAACATTTTAATCATAGCTCATTTAATCTATATTAATAATTGCAGTACAAATAATTTAATAATTAAACATTATTTTAGAAACTCAAACTTCATTTAATAATATTCGAAAATAAAAAAATTCTTAAAAATACAAATAATACATTCGACAATAACATTGCTGTCAACGAAAAACTGGTAAAAAATTACCAATTACATATTTTTTTTATTATTTACAATTACATGAAAATATATAAGGAAAGTTTATCGGTGTGGCATTACGTTACGTTAAACCAGTTTGCTTTTAAAATAAAGATTGCATGTTTTTGAACGTCGAAATTAATTTGTTATACATTCAAAATTATGATGAATACCGCCCTCTGTGTCTACAAAACTTGTTTTCAATTCCATGTACTTGACCTATAGGCCTATATGATATTTTTCAATTTGTTCTGCTCTTCGTTGTAGGTGTTAAACCAAAAATTTATTAATTTTTTGTTATGGTAATTTTAAGTAGTACGTTTATTAACCACCCGGCGTCGAATTATCGTATATATATATTTTTTATGTATAACTATAAATCTAAATTGGATTTTCGTTTAATATATTATTTAAATGACATATAAATATTTAAGTTTCTTATATCTTTTGATGTACTAAAATGGTTTGCTTTATCATTAAGGCAGCATTCCTCCGTATGATATTTATAATTTCTTGCTACTGAATGAAAAAGTTCAAATTAAATTCGTAATTGTTAGTAAAGTAATCAAGTCCTTTTGTATATATTTTTTTCTTAATACCATGGGTGTTGTTGATCCATATTCTGGTTATAGTATGAACTCTCTGCATCTATCCTCAACCCAGACGCATAATATTTTCCCGGGTAAGTAGACATGCTTCGCTTCCATCCAACACACTTGCTTGGATCCGGACACCCTCGTTTTATAGCCGCATGTTTTCTTTTGGCATTTAAAAGCTTCTGCAGTAGAGTGTATACTGGATCCATATCGTCTCCTGTTACATCTGCCAATCGTCTGCTGTTTTCCTCTTGTCCAGTCATATCTCCTAAACGACCAGTTGCATTACTTGGTAACACGTTTGACAGAATACTTAGGACGACACCAAGTACAAATATCCGCTTCATACCAGCCAGAGATACAGGCACATGTACCATATTTCTTCTTATCTGTTCAGAATATTAAAAAAAATATATGTTTATGAAACTTGATCGTATAGTCTGCTATCCCGATATAAGCCAACTCGTACTTTAAAATGCATATGCGTAATGCTAGTTTAGCCGTGTGCTTATGAAGTTTTAAAAATTAATCAAGTATTTTTTAACTGTCAGTTGTTGATTGGTAATAGTATTCAGCTACTAACTGCAATAATGAACCAAATTTAAGTGATAATTTACAATAAAACGCAATTATATTGGTAAAATAATATGATAGCTAAATTGAATATCAATGAGGCTATAAAAAAAAAACATGGGTTAAAGAGTTTCACCAAGGGCAGAAAAATTAAAATGCGTGATTTTTATTTGGTGTGGAAATCTTGCACTCATTGTAATTCTCACCGTATTTCTAGTATTGTGCGAGGATGGCAAAATATCATGCTATACTATGTGTTAAAACTTCATCTAATTCTGGTATCCTGTTATCGAGCTATGCTTCGGTACGGTATACAGTATATACTAGGCCTAATTTGATAATCATTCGTAAAGGAAATCATGGACAATGTACGTTTATGGATTATTTTTTATTTTATTTCATTTATTTTTCTCACTGGAAACACGAGAACAGCTATCGTGGCCTGACAAAAATGGACCGTCCCAGCCCCCACCCTCTGGTTATTGTTTCTAAAGTACCACAAAGCGACACCATTTGTAGATAAACATGGGTTGTGGAACATGCGCGTATTCTACAAATGAATAACATTATTCTGATTGGTCATTTATTAATTTTTATTGAAAATTTGGCAAGGTTTATTTATATGTACAATTACGTAAAATGATCGTTTCAAGGGTATTTTAAATATAAAAATCACCTTTTTTCATTCTAAAGTATATACAATAAATTTGAACCCAAACGTAATTAAAATAAAATTTCTTTTCTGTGATATGTTCCTAATTATTTGAATAAATCACAAACCAATATTCGGCATAACTTGAAAGATATACTATACTGCTTCAGAGAAATGTGAAAAACATCAAAATATTCTATGAACATTAAATTGCTTTAAAAAAAATAGAGAATGAATTCTCTGTACAGCAAGATTACCGATCAATTTATTGGTCTTTGCAAACAATAACGTTATTATATTTACATGCTAATTGGTAAAGTATATAATGTTCTCGTTATAAAATGTACATATTTAAACAAATTGTTTTATATAAATGGAAACAAGTCTATATTGAAAATTATAAAACAGGTTTAGTATATGCTGAATAAACTGTAAACATAATGTTCTGTAAACCAATTACTTACTAAATATGTAAATGTCTATATAATGTGCATGTACATAATTATATATGTATATGTATATATGAGTGTTTATGTATGAATCAATGTAAATACTGTATATAGCCTACAACAAGAACATGTGTTGTATGAAATGTATACTGGAAAAAGATAATAAAGGGGGGTTGCTCCCACAAATGAGAGAGAGAGTAAAAAAAGAAAAACTAAATTATTATTATTATTATTATTATTATATATATATAATAATAATAATAATAATAATAATAATAATAATAATAATAATAATAATA